ACAAATTATATATATATATATATATATATATATATATATATATATATATATATATATATATATATATATATATATATATATATATATATATATATATTGGTTCATGTGAGAACAGGTCTTCCCGTGCGGTCAGGGCGGCATACACAATTAGGTATGCATAAATGCACCATACAATGTTTGAGAATACACCAAAATGAAATGCCAAAAAATGCACCACACACAAAAAATACACCACATATAATGATGTATTTTCGAACACTGTGTGATGCATTTATGCATACCTAATGGTGTATGCCGCACTGACCGCACGGGAAGACCTGTTCTCACAGGAACCTAACCATATATATATATATATATATATATATATATATATATATATATAGGGAAGGGTTCAAGTGCGGGTATAGCTTCCCGTGCGGTTGACGCAACTTAAGCATTAAAATGGCGCACCTTAAGTACACAAACCACGCATCTAAAGTTTAAAAATGGCGCACCTTAATCACACAAACAAAGCACCTTAAGAACAAAAACCACTCACCTAATAAAGTTTTAAAATGGCACACCTTAAGTTTCAACAACTGACGCACCTTAAGCATACAAATCATGCACCTTAAGAAGGAAAATCACGCACCTAACGCTTTAGTTGACGCACCTTAAGTTTCAACGACACTGATGCACCTTAAGCACACAAACCACGGACCTTAAGAAGAAAAATCATGCAACTTAAAGAAGGAAAACCATGCACCTAAGCAACCGCATAGGAACCATATATATATATATATATATATATATATATATATATATATATATATATATATATATATATAACAAATTTAGCTAATATATTTATATTTATATAATATAAAATAATAATTTTTTTTGAAAGCAAATATGAGACTTTTATTAATGCAATAACATCAAAAGAAAGTCAGGTGCAATAGCATCCGAAAACATAGAACCAGACTGAGTTGCGACTTTAGCGGTCAAAGTATGAGCTATAACATTAAGCTGTCTAGAAACTAAATGAAACGAGCAACCAAACAAAGTGGCCAGGTTGGCCTTGCACTCCTCAATAACGACTCCAACGTGCAATCTAGGTGTGTCTCCTGTATTGATGACGTAACGATGTAGGGCCGAGCCGTCCGTATGAAAAGCTACCGTTCCAACCGCCCGATCTCAAAATATATAATATAATTGAGATAAAATATTAAATTTTGTTACGATATTTGATCATAAAATATTTATTATTCTATTTTTTTTTTTACAAATATTAAGTAAATGTATTCAAGCAAAGCTTGAATAGCTCGATTCGATCGAGTCAAGTCTAGTTGAGTTTGAACTCAAAAAATTAGACTTCGATCAAGTTAAACCGATCACAATAAGTTTTGATTTTTCAAATCGAGTTGAGTTTAATATATAAAAGGCACTAGTATTGATTTCTATGGTAAAAAATATAAATTCTCATAACATTCTTTAGTAATAAATTATTTGTATCACGATTTCCAACTTATGAATTGTTTACCAACTAAAATTTGTAAATCATAAATTATTTTAAAAATTTATTGAGAATTTTCAACGAAAATAATTTGTTTACGATAATAAATAATATTAATAAAATAGACAATTAGTGGATCCTGGCAATGCTGTGTTCAAAGTTTGAAACGAGAAAAGCTCTTTGAACTGGTCAGTGCCGATTATTCCGACTTAAAAATGGAAGAAAAAGACTATGTTGCTGATGAGCAAGGACCGATTCTTTGATATTGAAACCTGCCAGCAAAGTTTGGTTTGTCGGGTCGGGTATACATACACGCACACTCTCACACACAACCCAAGATAAAGTAAGAATTAATTTCAGTCTAACATCAATAAAAATCAAACGAATCAGATCAGATTTAAGAAAAACGTGTTAGTATTTTTGTAAGAGCAAATACCAATTTTGGTCCCACGAGTATTAGCAAAATGACAGTTTTAGTCTACATGTTTCATTTCTATCAATTTTCATCCACGACTATTATTTTAGTACCAATTTTCGTCCAGAACTATTGTTTTAGTGTCAAAATTCATCACGCCGATCACCCCTTCATTTAAGACATTCCAAAATATGAAATTATTAAAGGTAGTTTCGTGCTTTTCAAATTAGGATCCATATTTGAGCATGGATAAAGGAATTTAAGCCTTAAGATTGATCTCAATTCGCAGTTTTCCTCCTAAAATTAAGGTATGATAAGGATGAGAACTGCAAATTGGGATCGATTTTAGGTTATAAATTCATTTATTTATGTTCAAATTGAAATCTTAAGTTGAAAAGGACGAAAATGCCCTTAAAATTTTTAGATTTTGGGATGTCTTAAATAGATGGGTGACCGACGTGATGAATTTTGGTACTAAAATAATAGTCGTGGATTAAAATTGTACTAAAACAATAGTCGTGGATGAAAATTGGTAGAAATTAAACATGTTGACCAAAACCGTCATTTTGCTAATACTCGTGGGACCAAAATTGGCATTTGCTCATTTTTGTAATTTCACCAACTTTATTTTGTAACTTGTAACACAATATATATTACATGAATACATTTAGTTGTTACAAAAGCGCATATTTAGTTTTACAAAGTAAATTTCTCGATAACATTTAAAAAGTCAATGAAAAACTAATAAATTTCAAACCTAAATCATAAATTCTAAATTAATAAATTTCAAACCTAAATCATAAATTCTAAACCCTAAGCAATAAAAAGTGAACTCCTAAACTAAAAAAGTCAATCATAGACTTCAAAAAAAAAAAAGTCAATCATAATATAAACTCAAAATCCAAACTCTAAATGCACTGCACTTTCACATTTTACAAAAGTGCAATATTTAATACTAAAACTGAAATTTGTAAAAAAAAAAAAAAAGATATGCATTTCTAATAAAAAAATGCGATAACGTTTTGCACAATGCAATTTTTAATACTAAAATTGCACTTTATAACAACTAAATATGTACTTTGTAACAACTAAAAATGTATTCCTGTGTTAAAAGTTGTGCAGTAAAATTACTGATAATTACGAAAATATCATCGCGTTTTATTTATTTTTTAAAATTTGATATGATCTGTTCAATTTTTCTAGATGCAAGGCTGAGATTGCTTCTTTTACACACTAGAGATCAAATGCAAAGGAGCTCTTAGGTAAAATATTGGGTGAAATCTTAGTTATTGATCTAGCCAAAATTAACAGTCCAGAATGATGAAAATTTTTTGAAAAAAACGCGGTGACATTAGGATAATTTAGTGCATAACTTAGAACTTAAAGTGCATAAGTTCGAAACTTAAGATGCATAAAATCAAAACTTAAGGTGTATCAGTTCAAAACTTAAGGTGCATCAATTCGAAACTTAAGGTGTATTAGTTCAAAATTTAAGGTGCATCAATTTGAAACTTAAGGTGCATCAATTTAAAACTTAGGGTGTATTAGTTCGAAACTTAAGCTGTATTAGTTTGAAACTTAAAATGCATCAATTCAAAATTTATTATACATAAGTTTGAAACTTAAGGTGCATCAGGTCAAAACTTAAGGTGCATCACTTTGAAACTTAATGTGCATCAGTTTGAAACTTAAGGTGTATCAGGTTGAAACTTAAGGTGCATCACTTCGAAACTTAAAGTGCATCACTTCGAAGCTTAAAGTGCATAACTTCGAAACTTTAAGTGCATGACTTTATACAATAAAATCTGTACACCATACTCTTTGGAAATACATCTAGCATCTTTCTTTCCAAAATGTAATGCTAATACAAGTTTGAATCTGCAGCAAGAGAGGAAGATGAGGAAGAAAACGACAATGGTGCGAGGAGATCATTTGCAGCCAGTTGCTAGGAAGCGTTTTTATTCAAAAAAAAAAAAATTACCTTTCATTTTGGGCAACAGTTGATCTAAATTAGATCAATAGCTCAGATCTCACCCCATTGTGAAATCATATGACAACTAACCTCCACATGAGTTCATGAGAGCCAAATCTCATCCATTAAAAAAATAGATCTATGGATGGGATTGATTGAGGAGATTAAAAACATGTGGGTGCATATTAGGCATTATAATGTGTGCATATTAAGCATATCCCTATGTTGCATACAACACATGTTTAATATGTATTCATCATAATGTTTAATATGCATACACGCGTTTTTAATCCTTTAATTAATATCATCTATAGATCTTTTTTTTAATGAATGAGATTGGTTCTCATGAACTCAAGGGGAGGTTGGTTCTCATAGGAACCTCGTGTGTGTGCGTGTGTGTGTGTGTATATATGGATGAGATCTACTGCAACGGAAGTCTCAGCGATGAGATATGCGCTGTTGATCAAATCTAGATCAACGGCTCAAATCAATGAAATTGTTTTTAAAAAAAAAAAGCGCGTCCTGGAAGGCAAAAACAAAGTGTAAAAATGATGCACCTTAAGTGTTATAAAAACACACATTAAGTGTTAGAATGACGCACCTTAAGTATTAAAGTGACGCACCTTAAGTGTTAAAATGACGCACCTTAAGTGTTACAAAGGCGCACTTAAGTAGTAAAACGAGGCACCCTGAGCACAAAAAATACACACCTTAAGTTTGAACAATACACAAAATGACGCATCTTGAACGTTGATTTTGGCAAGATCAATGGCTAACATTAAACCCTAATTTTCACCTAAGGCTTTCTTCGCACCTGATCCGTTATAGAGTTAATATGAGAACAATGCCTTACGTAAGAACATGTGAATTACTGCATGAGTGCACGCAATCTACTACATGAATGCACACAATCTACTCCTAGGCATGTCTAGATGACGATAGAGATTCTAGAGTAAATTATGTGTAATCATACGATTTTTATTTTCTTACGCAATTCAAAAGGAGTGGTTGAGTGGGTGGAACATGATTTTTTTACATGTTGTCAACCATCTCGATCAAGCTGTTCTAAAAAAAAAAAAAACAATAGGTAATTAGCATTTTCCTAAAAGATAATGCCATGAAGCCAAAACTCTTCTTCACATTTCATACAAGTGTATAGGTATATCTTGAATCTGCTAAGTGAATATTTGCAGTATATATACAGAACAGAGAAGAAAAAAAGAAAAGAAATCACAGTATAGAAAGACTGAGGAAGTGAGGATTGACAAACATTTAGCCCTCTCCATCCATACTGTCCCATATGCACATGAAAACATTTCAACCACTGGGAAAATTTCCCCAGAACAGAACATCAGAATCCACTGTTGTTTCAAATTAAAGGTCATAATCTATGTCTGAAAGATTATGAACATCTGAACGCTTGATCAACTCTCGTCGCTCATTGTACAGATCAAGGTGCTCACAGGGAGCAGGAAACACAGTCCCTATAACGCGGCCCTGAACATAAGAACACTGGAAAATGTGTTTCTTCTTGTACGTTATCCCAATCGACATGTCCTGGAAAGTCACATTCCTCACTGGAATGTCCTCGCTTCCATGGATACGCACAGGGACACGCACTCCCTCCCCGTGTATTGACATGTAGGTTATGTCCTTAAGAACGGGGACTGCTTTGGGGTCGAAGTCCTTGTCTGGATGTTCATTGTAATCTGTCTTGATCACTATCCCTACCCTCACGTTTTCGAGTGTCACATTGCGAAATGTTACTTGTTCAACATACCCCCCTCTCCCTGCTGCTGTCTTGATGCGAATAGCACGCCTCGAGCTCCATACGTGGAGGTTCTCCACGGTCACATTCGCCACCCCACCAGACATCTCACTTCCTATTGAAATGCCAGCACTGACAGACATAATAATGTAGTTTCTTAGGGTAAGTTTTAAGCACAAAATGATGATGGAATAGCTGTTAGTAATCTCGGGTGAAGGGCCAGTCCAGCACCAGATGGTTAGGGGATTGCTGGGTGGAGGCCAGAAGGGCGGGCCAAATCCAGCACTTGCCTCTTGAAAATGTGGCAGTATAAGGAAATAAAGTTGTGTCTTTACTGTAACACTACACTATAAGTAAAAAGGTATAAACTTTAAGCTAAATTGGAGAGGTTGCACAAGAGGGCTCACCTGACCATGGAACGAACCACAAGGTTTCGAATGAGTATGTTCTTGGAAGGGCGTCCATACGCTATACCATACTGATCCCACCCGCTCTTTATTGCGATGGCATCATCACCAACGCTTATGTAACAGTTTTCAATCAACACATCTTCACATGAATCTGTTTAGCCACAACAACACCTCACATATTATGAAACCAAATCCTTGCAAGCAATGACAGTAATTGGAGTGATCAAAAGAGCACATACAGATCGAGGAAACACTCACCGGGATCAATGCCATCAGTATTTGGAGCATCAAAAACGGGTGCCAGGACTGTAACATCTCTGATCGTGACGTTTTTGCAGTCGAATGGATGGAGGGTCCAAAAGGGAGAGTCACGTAACGTTACGTTGTAGATCAGAATGTCACTAGACCACATAATCTGTACAAGGGGTCCTCTAGTGTAGTTAAGAAGTCTCTGCCTATACTTCTTCCACCATCCTTGACCCTGCCCATCTATGGTGCCATTATGACCTGTAATTACAACATCTTTGAGATTTTGGCCATGGATTAGACTTCCATAGCGTGGTCCAAGGTGTTCCCTCCCATGTCCATATGAAGGCAATGGAGGCATCAGAGGCCAGTACTTCTCATCCTGTTAAATACAAAACATAATATGAGTATGGAGATATTCCAAATATATTATGGCAATTCGAAATTGCCATACACCAACTAGAAGTTTGGAATTAAAACGGTATGGCTAGCTCAGTTGATTCTTGAATGACAGATTGTGAGTAGAACGAATCAAGCCCGGAAACCCCACAAATCATGTCAGGTCGAGGTGTGGGCTATGGGGTGAGGAATTTCGCCTTTTGTGGGCAAGAAGCTATTGATTTAGTTGAGCAAAAAAGCTTAAATCTTTGGCAATGAAATTTATTGAAATGAATGAATACTCACATCAATGCCAAGAATCACAGCACCCTCAGCGAGGAAGAGAGTGATATGGCTGGTGAGATTAAACGGAGCCGTGAGCCATAACCCAGGAGGCACATTGAGCTGCCCACCACCCTTCTTGCCGAGTTTGGAGATAGCCATAACAGCCCTCTCAAACGCCGCCGTATTCACAGTAACCCCATCCCCGACCCCTCCAAATTCCGTCAAATTAAACGCCACGGGCCGGAGCCTAGGCAGTTCCCTAGCCGGAAAAGCCCGCCGGCCGGCAGACAAGAGTCCATCAGCGCAATCCCTCTGCCACAGAAACACAGAGCAGAAGGCGGCGACCCAAAGCACCGTCAGAAGAGTCTTGTGGGTGGAGAAGAAGGTGGGGATGATGCAGCGGTGATTACGCCAGGAATGCGACGCCGCCGTCTGTGTCTCCGCCATTGTTCTGTAACAGAAATGGGTCTTAGTTGAGAGTAAAGTTGTAATCTTTGATCACTATAATAACGCAACAGCGTAAAGAAATGGAGTTGGGTAGGTGTAACAGATGAAGACTCGTTCTGGGAACTTGAGGATCTTTGGCGATGGATGGTGAACTGTAGTGATCAGAATGAGGAGTGGTTGGGACGACAGTGACAGGGGAAGAGAGAAGACGAAGAGTACATTTAAAGGAAGAAGAAAGACACAGAAAGAGAAGTTAACTGTAAATGGATGATTGATCCATGATTCCATGCTAAGAAAACATCCATTACACCTAACACAAAATCAATTTGACCACATAGGCAGCTCAGTTAATCACATGGATAAAGTTTTGAAACAATTATTCGGGATCGAATCTCACCAGTAATAATGTAGAGCAATCTCTCTAAGTGAGCAGACTCCCAGATATTTTGTTGGGCCGAGATGTGGGGCCCTTGGGTTGGAAAACGTATTGATTGCATACTAGGTAGAATCAGATGATAAATCAATAAAATGAGATGAGATTATTTAGTAAATTTCAGTTAAAAGGTAATTTTAGATTTATTGATATATTGAGAACATAACATTTTCATTGCATTCATTAGGAAGTTTGCATAGCAACATCCAAGATTCTTTTTATGGCGAAGTGGGTACTAATGGGTTAGATGGTCACAATCAGTGTTGAGGTTGAGCTTTCTTAATTCTTAGTGGATTTTTATTTGTATTTTTTAGTATCTGACAAATCTGCCGCAGGTCAAATGAGGTTAGGTGGCACCAGTTTGAGGCATGATAATGAGTGAACATGCAGAAGTAGACATTAATATAAAGGTCAAATAATGATTGGGAAGTTGATGAGGAGAAGAAGAAGAATAAAAATCTGCAAATTGGTATCCTCATTCATCCATGTTTAAGATTATAATATGTGTAGTAGTGTTCTGGTAAGATGATGTTGAAGTTGAACCATTACATTCCCAGAATCCCAGTTTCCCCACTAAGCATATATAATCTCAGTAGTTGTTACCACTAAAAAAGATTGAATTGTTGTTTAGATGTTAACCCCTTTGCTCTCATTGGGGCATTTCTAAAATGTTTGATCAAGAACACCACATTGAGATCATGAGATTTTGTTCTTTGGTTTAATTTATGCTTCACAACATTTTCGCAAAAGATGAGTTCTTTTAAAGGTGTTATTGTATATACATGAGTTCAAACTCTTGATATCATATTTAACTGATTCAAAAATAATTTCTCTTAAAAGGTGCTATTGTATACACATGAGTTCAAACACCTGACATCATAGCGACTTAAAAAATGATTACATTTGTAGGCAATGAATGAGATTATTATGTTTAGTTGGAGAAATTGCATCTTTAATTATTTAATATTAGTCCTTTTAACTTTTAATTAAGTATGATTATTATATTTTGTGAAAATGGTCAAATAGACCCCTAAACTTTATCTCAAAGGTCAATTAGGCTCTTAAACTTTAAAAAAGTGCAATTAAACTCTCAAACATGTCAAATTGGGTCAATGAAGCCCAAAAATCGGTAAATGACATGTTATTACATGTCATTTCAATTCAGGCGACGGATTCCGGCCACCGACGACAAATTCCGGCCGTCTTCTCCAGTAGAAAACGACCGGACGACCGAATTTTGTCGTCGGTGGCCGGAATTGAAATGACCTGTAATAACAGCTCATTTACCGGTTTTTGGGCTTCATTAACCCAATTTGACATGTTTAAAGATTTAATTGCACTTTTTAAAAGTTTAGCTGCCTAGACCCTTTTCTTTTATTTATTTTTTTTTTTAAAAGTATGATTATTACAATGTGATATGAACCGGCAAAGGAATTTCCAGTGACTTCAAAGGTAAATGTCCACCTCTCTTTTCTACCCAACCATTATCCTGAATTATTGTCAAATTTTCTGAGAAAATTTTCTGTCTGTCATTAGTAACTCCAATCACTAAATCTTTGTGAAATTAACACCCACCCACCATGAAACATCAATATCCCTACCCAAACCCAAATAAAACCAAACGTGTAAACGTTTCTCGATGGGAGGAGAATTTGATTCTTCTCTGATCTACAAACGAACAGCGGTCGTTTTCCTGTTCCGGGAGGCGTTTTAACGTTTTCCGGCAACATAAATGGCCGCTGTTCGTCGCATTCCGACGTTCCCCTTAATCTTCTTCTCATTCTGCCTCATTCTGCAATGCCTACCCCTTTCCATCTCCGTCGGAGACGACGTGGTTCTGATTGAGTTCAAGGAATCATTGCAGAACACCAAAGGCCTCGATGATACCTGGGTAAAAGGTAAAAGCCCCTGCGACAAGACCCGCCGATGGTTCGGCGTTCTATGCCACCGGAAAACGGTTACAGGGCTCCGTCTTTACAATATGGGCCTGGCCGGCGACATTGACGTTGATGCATTGTCGAATCTTCAAGGTCTTAGGATGATAGCCTTGGCGAATAACAGCTTTTCAGGGCCCATCCCTGATTTCGACAAGCTGAGGCATTTAAAGTCGCTTTTCATACAAGGGAACAGGTTTTCCGGGGAGATCTCTGCAGATTACTTCGCGAAGATGACTGGGTTGAGGAAACTTTGGCTTTCCCACAACGGGTTTTCTGGGAATATTCCTGCCTCGTTGGGGAAATTGCCACGCCTGGTTGAACTCCATTTGGAAGGGAATGGATTCTCCAGTGCTGTACCCCCTCTGGCGCAACGATCCTTGACGATTCTTGATTTGTCGGGGAATAAATTGCAGGGAGAAATCCCATCAGGCATGGCGAGATTCGGGGCAAAGGCATTCGAGGTAGGCCTGTTAATGAACCAAACGTAAACGAACCGAGGTTATTTCGTTTGTTAAGCATTAACGTTCATGAACAGTTAATAACTAAACACTGTTCTTGATCACAATTCATTCGTGAACAAGAAATAATCTACGTTGACGAACAAACGAGCTTATTTATGAACATTAATAATTGAACAAAAACTAGCTTGTTCACGAGCTCTTAACAAAGGAGTCTATAACTGTTCAGATTCTGTTCGTTTATGAACCGAGTTCTAAAATTTGTTCATTTACCTTAATAAATAAACACTTACCGAACATTAATACAGTAGTTTACCCAAAACTCTGTTCGCTAACGCTTCTAAATTTCCAGGGAAATCCTGAGCTGTGTGGGGAGCCGGTGGGGAGACAATGCAGAGAGGATTTAGGTAAAGACGGGGGTGGTGGCGCTGAAGCTCAAACACCTGAAAACGCCCAGCGCCATAGTTCAGGCATGAGATGGCTACTCTTATCCATAGTGGCAGGCCTTCTCTTGGTGGCAATCCTTTTCAACAAGAACCAGAACGAAGAGAACGTCAAAACCAGGAGAAAAGATAATCTTGACGAGGTTCTGGTGGTGCAGATTGCCAGCATGGCCAGGAGCGAATCCATTAATCATTCGTCCAGGAGAAGCACCTCCACCGAGGGATCATCATCACGAGGAGGGGATTTCGTCCTGGTGAACGAGGAAAGGGGAATGTTTGGGCTGTCAGAATTGATGATGGCGTCTGCTGAGGTCCTTGGCAATGGCGGGTTGGGATCAGCTTACAAGGCGGCGCTGCCGGTGATTGGACTGACGGTGGTGGTTAAGAGGCTGAAAGAGACCAATAAAATGAACAAAGATGCATTTGATGCAGAGATGAGAAAGATGGGGATGTTACGGCACCACAATATCTTGCCACTTTTGGCTTACCATTACAGAAAACAGGAAAAGTTGGTGGTTTCTGAATTTGGCCCCAAAGGCAGCCTGTTATACCTCTTGCATGGTGTGTGACAAGTTTACCATTACTTCAAAAACTATACCTGAAAGTATAACTTTATTTCTTTATAAGACCATTAAATTTTGAACACGCAGAATGTTGGACTTGGTCCTTCTCCATCCAACAATCTCCTTAGTCATCATTTACTGGACTGGTCCTTCATTGGTTTTCGTTCAACTCCCCCCCCCCCCCCCTCCGCCCTCCCTTATAAGACAACATAGTAAAAAAAAAAATTTAATCAATGGTGAGTTAGTCAATTCACAGACACATAAAACTTAAGAGGGGTTAATTTTGCAGGTGATCGCGGGACTGCTCACAATGATCTAAAGGCAGCCACACGCATAAAGATCATCAAGGGAGTTGCGAGTGGAATGGAGTATCTCCACACAGAATTTGCAACCTACAAGCTACCACACGGCAACCTTAAATCCAGCAACATTCTTCTCACACCAACCTACGAGCCACTTCTCACAGACTACGCCTTCCATCCGCTGGTGAGCGGCACGCCAACCCTGCAGTGCATGTTCGCTCTCAAGGCTCCGGAGGGCCACCAAATCTCGCACAAGAGCGACGTGTACTGCCTGGGGATCGTCATTCTTGAAGTGGTGACCGGGAAGTTCCCTTCCCAGTATCTGAGCAACCAGAAAGGCGGGACGGATGTGGTGCAGTGGGTACGCCAGGCGGTGGCGGACGGCAAAGAATCGGAAGTGATTGATCCGGAGATTGCTGGTGCCGGCGAGGATTCCGATGGGAAGATGGTGAAGCTTCTGCAGATTGGGGCGGCGTGCACGGAGAGTGATGTTGAGAAGCGGCTTAGCATGAAGGAAGCCATCAAGAGAATACGAGAGATCCAAGATGTTGAAGTTTTTCATGAATTGCCATTCCCAGATGAGATCAGAGAGGCGGAATGAGTTGAAGATTTAAGACCAAAAACGGAGTGCGACATAAGGGTTGAGACTTGAGAACCAAATTAAAGCCTGCTCACATCGAATTGAAGAAATTAAACATGCATGCATCCATGAAGCCATGAAGGATTTCTTAATCAAATTAAATTATCAAAGAAAGTAGATCAGTATTCTTTGTTGGCTACTTTGGTGTTGATTTTTTTACAATATTGTTGTGAGCTTTCAAATGTAAACAATTACAGGCTGATATATAAAAATCAAGTCTCCTCCAATTTGGGAGGGATCAATTCCCATATATATTTGCTATAATACTATAAACTCAATGGTCCAATAAGTGCCCTAACAATAGAAGTGTAGGTGGTGTTTGGTAAATAGCTGTTAGAGTTTAGCTGATTGGTTGGGTCAATGAATTGGACTAGTTAATAACATTAACCCATTGTAAAATGAAGTTTTTGATAAATTAATTATTAGCAAATTTACTGATAAACTAACTAAATTACCAAATAAGATCATAGCGACCAAGAACTTTGTGGTCCACTGGTATTTGGTTGCTCCCTAGGTTGGGGTATCCCTTCCTTTGTAATAAAAAAAAATCAGGTTATAGTGATTCAAAAGTTGAATTAAAAAGTTCTCAGGATTAATCCAGTCAAAATAATATTTAGGAGTGTAAACTTAATTAGCTTGATCAAAAAAGGGTGTTAAGTACAATTGTTAGTTGTTACTAGCTATAAAAAGAATTATTACAAGCTAATTAGCTTGTAGGAATGTATGATTTTTCGATTTTGTAATCAATATATGTCGAAAATGAAAATATAATATTTAAATATTTTCCCCCATAAAATCCTAGTGGAGATAGTTTCGTACACGTGGCGAACCAAGCTGTATTTACGTGGAGCCAAAACTTGTACAGATTGTATTATTATTGTAGTCGTAGTATACGAAATTGTTGGTCTAGTTAGCGAAACGAAGATGTATCGAACGGCTGTGAGACGGTTGTTTCCGGCGGTGCGCCGCTGCAACGCTCAGCTCAATATCTCTTCCAAGCGAGCCCTTGGTGAGACTCAATCGCCGCGATTTTTCAATTCAGTTGTTTCTGAGAACATTCCAAATCAGAGTTCTACCCATTCCCACTATGAATCGTCATCGTCATCAACCGCGTCTAATGCCTCATCAGCTAGGAACGACGATGAGACAGCTCGAGGTTATGAGAAGGACGGGAAATCGGGCTCCAGAACCAAAACATCAAGGCCTAAAGCTCACTACCAAGACGAGCAGGCTCGTGTTCTCAGCGCCTCTCTCCCTCATGTGGTCCGCATCTCTCTCTCTCTATCGACGTTTAATAATGTGGTTTAGTTGAAATGAATTGTTCGAATTGGAGGATTTAGTTTAGTATGAATTCATTGATGTCGGCTTATATCGTGTGTGATGCATTTATTTGTTGATTATTTATGTGTTTTTTTACATTTATCTAATTGTAGAACCGGATGATTATTTATCGAGTAAGTAATTATGGTGATCAGTAGATCACTGATTAATACTTGAGGAATACCAACTGCTGCCATAAAAACATGCTTAATTACAAATTGAAAGGTTTCTAAATCAAATGTGGGGGAAATATTGTTTTCATGTGTGTTTCCAAAGATGTGTGGTTCGTATCACGTGAATCCAACTTAAACCTTTTCCCATTTCACCTTAACAGAGTTGACATGGCTGATCTTCGAATGCAGATTAGATTGGGGTGGACTGAAGCAGCCATGATTGCAGGGGCAAGGGATGTTGGCGTTTCTCCATCAATTGTTGGATCTTTTGCTTCAAAAGAAGCTGCTCTAGTAGAGGTAAAGCCTCTATTTTTAATTCTTTAGGAACTGTTATAGGAGCTGGGGCAATCTCACTCTCAGGCATTTATAAGTCCATGAAATGAACAGCTTCTGAATGAAGCCTAGAATCAGCTCATTTTATATTGATACATATTTGTTCCTTTTTCCTTCTTTTTTGTCCTTGTGGAGTGGTGATGTTACTGTCTTCTATGCATGCAAACTAGAACAAGTCAAAGAAAAGTCAAAGCTAAACAGTTATGGCATCTGATAGTTCATTCCAAACTATATGTAACTAATTAAAAACAGTTTAGAAAGCTTAATGTTATGGTTTGTGCTTTCCTTTACTATATGGATGCATGAACTCATTGCCACTGGTTTGTAATTTGAACTCTCTACTTGATAGTGTTGCTCTCCTGGGAAATGTAGTATTTTTAGATAGATTATTGATTTACATGGTTTTGAGTCATTATTTATTTTTCTCATTATAATTTTCCTTGTAGTTTTTCATGGATGATTGTTTGGAAAGACTCATTGATATTATTGACGCAAGGGAGGATTTGAAAACCATGATACCCAGTGAGCGAGTTGCAACACTTATCAGACTTCGCTTAGAAATGCAGGCTCCTTACTTGTCAAAGTGGGCTCAAGCACTCAGCATACAGGTATCATCTTCTTGCATTACATTCCATTGCTTTGTTACAGGAGTTGAAGCCTTTTTTTGGTTTGTTTGTTGCTGGAAGGAAACCAAGGAGTATATATTGTACAGAAACTTATTAAATATCCTAGTGGCAACTGCATTTTGTAGGCACAACCATTGAATATACCAACAAGCTTTAGGCAGCGAGCAATGTTGATTGATGAGATCTGTCATGCTGCTGGTGATGAAGCTGATGATATTGATTGGTATGTGAAGCGCACAGTCCTGGGTGGAATGTACTCTACAACCGAGCTATATATGCTGACTGATCACTCACCAGGTTCTTTGACTTTTCTTCCCATGCACTTTGTGTCTGAATGTTTTTTGCACATTATCCATTCTTCACATGCCATCTCAGCCCTGAGATCAGTAAAAGCTTGTTTCATTGACCATGGCATGCTCAATCTGCAAAATAAAACCTAGTCTGAACCTAGAATGTGTCCTACCTGTTTCTTTGTCCATTTTTTAAAACAAAAAAGCCAAGGAAAAATATATGGTTTTGGTAAATATGCCTCCAAAAACATTCAATAATCTTTTTCCCTTATTGAGTTGGAAATTCAGAGGGATATCCCTCTTGATTGTTTAATACGGAGAAAAATTCATTGAACCTATTTACCTAAAAAGCATTTCATGCTCTTCCTTCATTTCTTTGTGCGCTGTGAGTGGATATATACATATTACAAGTCATAAAAACTGAAATGCACAGCCTATATAGATGGCCACCTATGCCCATAGAGTACCATCACCTGTTTGCATTTGCCAGTGCCCCTGATGCAGCCTAAGTTGGCTGTACTTGTTGGAAATTATACAGATCTTCATTATATATTTCCTATTTACAGATTTTCGTGATACTTGGAAATTCTTGGATGCCCGAATTAGAGATGCTTTTGACCTGAGGAAGACTGCTAATGAGGTGAGTATCTAGGCTTTGGTCACTTTTTTTTTTTTTGGTCTCAAACAAATCCTATTACATGGTTACCTAGAGCGTTGTTTAGAGGATTTTTCTCTTTGAAAGTTGGATGTTGAAAAGAGATTGCAACTTTTGCAGGCAAAAAATTTGGCAGAAGCAGTTGGTGCTGGAATGGGAGGCTCATTACAAGGACTTATGAAGAGTGTTTTTCGCGGTTGAAAATTTTTGGCAACTTCACTAAAAGGAATCTTGGATTGGACATTTTCCTCTTTAGAATAACAGTTTTACTCCTGTCGGGCCAAGGTGTAGGGGCCTTAGGCTTGAGAAAATTTTGCCTTTTGTGGGCAAGAATAACAGTTTTACGTTTCTTTTAGTCTCTCTCTCTCTCCTCCTCTTCCCTCATTTACAGTTGAATAAAGATATATTAATTATTAAACTGTTTACTAGCCAGTAGTGCACTTATTATGCAAATTGATGGTGCAACTGAATCCTGGCTGTGTACATATACATAATGCTTCTGATGGCTTTTGATAATTCCCTTTCCCTTTACAATAGGAGCTGTTATTGTTGAAAAGAAAATGTTATGGCTTGTGAATTCCTCTTCTGTTTTATAAAATGGGTACAGATTGTGATTTGGTCTACCTTGTTGTATGTTAGGGAAGAAACAGAAACTACCTGATCATATGGTCACTCAGAAATTGTATGATGTTTTGTCTTAGTGTGGGTAGGGCAAAGACCCATTGTTGTCTTTTGAGTTGAATCACTCATAATGCCAAAGGCTTACATACATTACTGCATGCTTCTAGCTCCTCTTGAAATCTGTTGTCTTGGCCCTGTTTTGTTCAAGCATTATTCATCATCCACTACTACAGAGTGTTATATAGTTTCATTATTTACCAACCTTCAAATATCAATGGAGAAAACAAATATTATGGTAAGTTAAACAATTGGCCAAATCAAACAACCCCTTATGAAAAAATATTACATCAACTTTCAAATTTTATTCTTTGGACCCAATTGTCTTGATGTGAATTGCCGTTGGGCTGTGCAAAAGTATACAATTTAGTGTTGAGTCTTGAAGTTATATTGATTCGTTCTCACCCGAAAACTCGGGTTATTTTAACGTTTGTCATGTTATGGAGTTTGGGTCAGAAAGTCATGGAGTTTGGTTTTGACAGTAGAAAAATGGGAGTGAAGACAACCTCGTATCGGAAAAAAGTGTACTAAGAAATTGTGCAGTGATTAGGCCCTTTGCCAACCGTCATTTTCTCCAACCACCCGAAAAGCCGCATTGTTGGACTCCAACAAGGAACAACCTGAGACTCCGAGAATAGGATAGGATGGGATAGGAGTAAGAAAAAAGGTAAAGGTAATCTAGGAAAGCCTAAGTGAAACCTTTGTCCTCTGATTGATTACACTGTCAGAAGCAATCTCAATTCTCAATTCTCAATTCTCAATCAAATGGATTCAACTGTCTCGAAGCTTGTAGCTAAACTGGATCTGAAGTCGCACCCAGAAGGCGGCTTCTATTCTGAAACCTTCAGAGACTTCTCCGTGCACCTCTCTAAATCTCATCTCCCCCCTACTTGTGAGTCTTTCATTGCTTCCTTTTCCTCTTTCATGGCCTGATGGGTTTCATATATCATTCCAATTTATTCAATTTTCTTAGGTCAAAGCTATCCTTTTTATCCATTTGCTGCTATTTAATTAATGTTGTTATTGTTTGAAGTATAGCATCTGGGTTTTCATCATCGTGGATAAAGATTAAAATTTTCCCCCCTTTCTTTTCTTTATCTAATTATGATCGATTGGGGTTGGTGGATTTTATCGCTATACAGAAGGTATTGGAGGATACAGACATCAAGGCTAGGTTGTCCATTTATCTCTTATATATACATAGATTGTTTGATTAAATTGGTGAAGTGAATCCAAGAAGCTCAAATTCGGATAATTGTATGTAGAACTAAAATAGTGAATATTGGGGAGCAAATATTGGCAGAACCAAATCTGAAAATCATATATATAGTAATTTTTGCCAGAGAAACCGCAGCCACTAGGCCGGTAAACCATGCCTTGTGACCGGCAAAGGAAGGACCACAAGGGGTAAATCACTCTAGGTTGCCCATAACTGTTCGGTTCAAAACTAAGAAGGAAAATAAGCTCTTCCGCTGGGTGGCGAACTTATAATCTTGTGGTTGTCAAGTCAACGACCTGACTAACTTAACTTAGCTTGGGTTGCCCCTGTTTTCCTACTTTCTTGATGTTTATCTTTCATGATGTGAGATCATTTGGTAAGAAACAAGGAGAAGTATAGAACTATGACTTCTAAATTCAAAGTTGAAACTTCACAGTTTGGCAGTAAGTCTATCACCTAATCAATGTCATGCTAACGTGTTGGAGTTGGACTAGGATAAGTTATATCTTGCAGATTCAGTTTCGTACTTCTTTATTTTGCATATGGTGATTGGAACTCTGTTTTTACCTGTAATTTTGTATTTCGTCCATCCCTGATTAGTACAGTCCTTGTTTGCAGACAAGGTTGATCGACCTGTGAGTACATCTATTTACTTCTTGCTGCCTTCTGGGAGTGTTTCTCACTTGCACCGAATCCCAATGGCAGAAACATGGCACTTTTACACAGGAGAATCTATTACGGTGATTACATTTTTACTATGCTCCATTTCTATTGCATTCATGAGCATTGGTAAAGCACATAATATATACGAGATGCAATTTTCAGCTCTTCCTTGTTTGATACCTGCTAGTTTCCCCGTTTGTGGATACTCGTTATCTTTTTTCTCTCGGTCTTATCTGATATGATCTACAATGGCTTTCAGGTGGTAGAGCTAAACGAGACTGATGGTAGTGTGAAGTTAACAGGCATCGGGCCTGATCCCCTGGCAGACAATCAACAAGTGCAGTACACAGTTCCTCCAAATGTATGGTTTGGTGCTTTCCCAACAAAGGATATCGACATCTCTGCTGACAAGAAGAAAGCTGTCAAAAATCCTCCAAGAGACGCTGAGAAGGACTTCGCGTTAGTTGGATGTACGTGTGCTCCTGCCTTCCAGTTTGATGATTTCGAGCTTGCAAAACGATCTTACCTCGTATCATGCTTCCCAGAATACGAGTCGCTGATATCTTTGCTCACCTTTGCTGAGACATCCTAGTCTGGATCTCCTCTTATTTCATGTCAGTATGTTTACCATTGCAGATTTATCATAATGAACTCTGATTTGAAATGTTTCTTGGTATCCTTGTGAACGCTTCAACTGTGTCATTTGTTGACAATGAAACTCGCAGGTTTTGCAATTATTGTTCAGTATTATTGTTTTCTTTCTTCTTTAGTTAAATTAGTCTTAACAAAATTAATTAGACCAAATTGTTTTTTTTTTTTTTTTTTTTGCAAACTAGCACAAGCAATCTTAATTGTATATGAAACACTATCAATAAAAAAAATAACAGACAAGCAATATAAAGACGAAGACAATGCTAAATCTATCCAAAAGCAAATTAATAAAACTTAGAAAGGTACAAATTAAACATTAATTTTAATATCAATCATAATAAATTTACTGTTGCAAAAATCCCTATACCGTAGGCGATTTCACCCCTAGGCGCTCGCTTAGTGTCTAACTCGGCCTCCTAAGCAGTTGCCTAGTGCCTAACTCAACTAAATTCGACCGAGTTAACACATCCATTTCTATCGAGTTAGCTAAGTTAACCTAGTCGGCTCGACCTTGTTAATTTTTTTCATTTTATATATATATATATATATATATATATATATATATATATATGACATACATACACTCACACATGTGCACTATTTTTTTATTTTTAGTTAGCCATATAGGCGCACGCCTAAGCCGTCTACACGCTAGGTGCTACCCTACCACCTAACTAGTGCCTAGCACCTATGCAACCATGAATAAATTTCTCCTGCCATAGAAAGTCAATGGGTTTGAGCTTCCGTGGATATTTTGTACTTTAATAAGTTGAGAAAGGAATTATGAAAAGAACCAATAATACTCAAGCACAATCCCTTTGCCAAAAAAGTGTCAGAGTTGAAATCCTCATCATCATCACTTGTGAAACGTGTCAGTAATGGTTAACCAACAACAACTGTATCTTTATGTATCATATATATGAGTAAGCATTATATTGCATCACTTGTGAAGCGTACGTGTCACCAGCAGCCTGCATGTTAATGGATGGTTAACCAACAACATAACAATTGTATTATGTGAGCCTAGGATGCATGTAATATGGCATCAATCTCCCTCTTAATAGCTGCTGCTTCTTTTGTTTTTGTTGCTTTGCTTCTCTCCATGTTCTTGATTTTTCAGCATCTCAGATCTTACACCAATCCTGCGGTCACTACTCATTCTCATTATTATACATATTATATTGCTCTTCTCTTCGACTACTAGGCTCGTTGTTCCATATGCTTGCTAGAATCCCAGATTTTATTTTCTTGGGTTTATTTTTTCAGGAACAAAAATGGATTGTTGCCGTCATCTTCATGGTTCCTGTCTATGCTACTGACTCAGTAATTTGCAGTTTTGCTGTGTTAGTTTAAAACAATACCGATTACATGATACCATCTTGATTACACAGATCTCAATTAAGTCTCTTGTCATTTTTGGTGATATTTTCCCCAGATTTTATCTTTGTGGAACTCCAAACTCTCTCTTGCCTGTGACATTCTGAGAAATCTATATGAAGCCTTTGCACTCTATTCCTTTGGCACTTACTTGGTTGCATGCCTTGGTACGCTCAGCAGATAAAAACACTCATCTTCCTGCATTCTTACATCAAAGTTTGAAATACTACTTAGCATACTACAACCTTAGCCACATTTTGTGAAATCATTAAAAAACAAAAAGAGAACCGGCCTTACGCCCGCAATCACTATCTGAATGTGTGCACTAGGTAAACCCCGGCTTGTGACTGCAGCCGGCAAAGAGTTAACAGTCTAACCAATTTGGCTAGCCAGAACTTGCCTTACTGGTTCTAGGAAGGAGTACATTAATTCTAGTTAGTTATATTGTATCATCAAGCTGTTACTGCAAATGAATGGGATAGTGAACTTATGGTAGGGGGTGAAAGGAAAGCAGTGGAATTACTTGAAGAAGAATCAAGAAAACAGACTAGGCAGCCATTGCTTGGTGGGGAAGGGAAACCTAAGACAAAGCAAACAACAACATTCTACAACTTCATGTTCCACCCTTGTGCTGTTGGAGAGCGTATGCTTACAATACAGAAATTTGGTCTTGTACAGTATGTAAGAAAGCAATTATGATTCCTTCCCTTTAATTTGCTAGGATGCATGCACACTAGCTAATTTCTTTCGGGTTTTACGGTTCAGATGATTTTGAAGACTCTTTGTGCACTCTTAGCCCTGGTACTGGAGCTGTTAGGCGTATATGGGGATGGCGAGTTTAAGTGGTACTACGGGTATGCAGGCAGTATGCACCATTTTCTGTTTTATAGTTTTAGCTACAAAGTTAACTGCCTATTCATTTTCCAGTACACATACCTGAATGTATTTCGATTCTCTCAGGTACCCCTATATTGCAGCAGTTCTGTTCTTCAGCCAGATGTGGGCTCTGTACTGTCTGGTGCAGTTTTATAACGCAACTCATCAGAGACTTCGGGCAATCAAACCGCTCGCCAAGTTTATTAGCTTCAAAGCTATCGTTTTTGCAACGTGGTGGCAAGGTGTGGGTATTGCCTTAGCGTGCTATTGTGGTGTGCTATCCAGGGAAGAAAAATTCCGGGGTGGGTTGCAGGACTTTCTGATATGCATAGAGGTATCATCCAGTCTCTCTGTTTCTTGTGAAGTATAAGTGGCATTCATGTTGCTTTGAGATAACTATACGACTCCTTTTCATTGTTTCCACAGATGGCCATTGCTGCCATTGCTCACCTCTTTGTTTTCTCAGCCAAGCCTTATCGTCTCTTGCCATTACCTGCGTATGGGATTGGGAAGATCACAACTCAAAAAACAAAAACATTAGTAGATGTGGAAGATGTTGAAGATAAGAAAAAGGCAGCTGTTATTGAGAAAACAGAAACCGAGGTCGAGGTGCCAGGGACTAGTGTGAAGAAAAGTGTTCAGGACATTCTTGTTGGAGGTGGTCAACAAGTAAGATCCTTCTTCCAGCCTCAGCTTCCATTATACAACAGTGAAGAAAAGAGACAAAACAGTCTTTCTTTCTCCAAAACATTTGGCTTACATTCTATTGAAACATCTGTCACAGGTGGTTGAGGATGTTGTGTTGACAATTAACCAGGCAATTGGACCAGTGGAGAAGGGCATGACAAAGATCCAAGAAAAAATCCACCAAATATCAGAGTCTTCTAATGAAAAGTAAAGCTTGAGGAGACAGAAAAGCGCCTAACAAGAGAAGGGAGTCAAGCTGACAAAAGACATTTTCATTAACTATTAACAAAATTTCCAGGTTCTATGATACAATAATCTTACATCTCTCATATGTATATTATATACTGTCCTTATCCCTCATCTCCGGAACAGCATAGTTCACAGCAACTAAAACAACCTAAACAAGCTAACGAGCCAAGCAACTGGGTCATGAGAATTGAACATTGGTCATTCATCTTGGAACATGTCTGAATGCAGCACATGCAGCAGAGTTTCTCACAGACCATGCTGCAACAGTTAGATGCTGCCTTCACAAACAATTCTGCTGCATCGGGTTTTGATTCAACTGAACCACCAGGACGGATGTTTTCAGCCGTGGCAGTAAGGTTGCCGAAACCCAATCCAAGATTTTGGAGTACTATAATCTTGTGCTGTTTAGGTTCTTCCAGATTTTGTGGATCATGAACCTGATTATCATTTGGGCTTTGGTTAAAAAAAGCAGTTTGAATCAGGTATAACCAAAAAAAAAAAAAAAAGATCTTTCCAGTATATTTTGTTTCCTTCCTGTTATTTATTTGAAATTTTGGTACCTTCTTTGTCTTGGTTGAGTCTATGGTTCCTTTTGTTCTCCCAGTCCCTATAACTGTCATGCGAGTATACTCAGAAGCAACAGCATTTTGTACACTCATTTTTGCTATCTGCAAATGAAGGAAATGGCTTAATGAATGATACTGGGAAACAATATGTTGGGCGGAGGGCCAGTGAAGTGCCAAGTTCAACACCAGGTGGCTAGGCGATTGTTGGCTTGAAAGGTCAAATTCAGGCGTTCAGCACCTTGCGTCTGTGGCGGTATAAGGAAATAAAATTCCTCCTTCGCTACGAGCTATAGCTTTTGGCATGATAGTAAGCGCTTGATCCTAACAGATCACAATATAATAGAGTTGTGAGAAGTGTTTACCTTCTCCTCAAGCTTCTTATTTTCAGTAAGCCATGCCTGGGCTGTGAGGATATCAATTTGATGCTTTGCCAGTACCTGTGAAACATTACATTAGTATATCATTGAATGATGTCTTGAACCTGTGCATATACAACATTTCATACTCCAAACTCTCTGTGAGGATATATCAATCTGTAAAGTAAACCTCTTACCTTATCAAGAGGTATGTCCTTAGCTTCTTGCACCTTCAGGTCTACAGAGAAATTGCTCAAGTCTGCAAGGATACCTCTAGCTTCAAGGTTCTTGGGAAATACTCCACAGTACCTGCCTGATAGAACCAGTGGGCTTCCTGATGAAAGGTCTGGTATTTGATATGGATATACCTCAAAGTCCTCAAGGTTAAGAGTTTCAAAGTCAATGCAAATGTTTGCAAGAATGATGGATGATGCGGTGGCAAATAGGTTTTCCATTCGAGCTTCAATTGAATCTGAACAAGAACCAATTAGCCAAATATGCATAAAATTCATGTTATGACTGGACAGTACATGGCTTTTGCATAAGATAAGCACAGACAACATATCAACTGCAGAACTCAAGAACTCACCTACATCATAAGCTGCATCATAAAAGCCACGACCCAACATTGCAAGCATGCGGAGGAAATAATGGTTACAGAACCGCCCTGAAAATTTTCAAGTGACCAACCAACATCAAACTACTGGAACAACAAACGAACTTCAGCTTAAAAAGGTCGAGCCAAGCCACTAGTAAATGACAAGTCAGAAAGATAGCATTTATCTCCTTGTATGTTTATACAATACATACCAATGCCAAATGTGCAAATTCGTGGGCTCATTGTCCTATTTTTTGTTTGATGACTCTTGAGGACATCACAGATGTTTCTTTCATCTTCAGCAGCCCCATCAGTGATAAGGAAAATGAGAGGAATCGCTTTGCTTGTATTAGAAAACATCTCAAGGGCCTGAACAAGTGAAAGAATTTCTGTTCAGAGTCTGTTCTAATGGCATTGAAGACTAAGATAAGTTAATAATAGATTGATAGTGCACCAGATAACAAACCTGATTTAGTGGATTCAAAATATTTGTACCACCACCAGCAACAAAATTCATGTTAATCCACTGAGTTGCATTTTCAATAGCTTCCTTTGTTGCCAATTCAAGGGATGATGAAAACAGATAAGTTTGATCATTAAATGCTATTATACTAAATGCATCTTGAGAGTCGAGCTTCGATAGTGCAGCAAAGAGTGCACTTTTGGTATCCTCAAGAGGCTGTCCTCTCATGCTCCCACTTATGTCAACAACAAATACCACTTCCTTCCTGAAGACCTGTCAAGCCATATAAGAAATTTAAGTTAGGGGACCACACCTCCCGATTGTCATACAACAGAGAGCAGGTAATACAATGACAAAGAAACGAAAATGACCATAAGTGAACTTCCATGAAATTCAGTACTGCAAGTGATCATCATTCTTTTAATATACAAGTAATTCATTTAATCACAAAAGAATTGCACCAAGCTGGTTGCTCAAGACTTTACAAAATGTTTGCAAAACAGAAGTTATGTATGTAAATAAGATACATTCTTCGCAGCACACTCTTCTTTACCCCAAAATTTGCAAGTCATGTAGTCTAAGAAAAAAACAATCATTTTGTTGTAATAGGCCATTCCATTTCAAGGGGACCTTCAGAGATACAAGTAAATTCCAAAACAAAGGATTAACCAACCATTTTACGCTGCTCAATTCCAGGAAAAAGATAGCAGCAGAACATTTCTCTTTGGTCAATGTCAAGAGTTGATGGAGATTGTAAAAGCACACCACCAAAGGTTTGGCTTGATGAAATCTGAACACATGAAGAGGCAAGGATGTCATATAATCATATCTGCAGAATCATCAAACTACAGAGTACTAGAAACTCGAAAAGTGACTTCTCTTTTGGAGGATAATTTGGTAACATCAGTAAATTTTATAGGAATGATCATTATTTTTACTATTATTCTTGCTAGAAGATTGTTAGTCTTATTAAGGTGCACTGAGGAACAAATGCAGATATAGGGTTGTACCGAGTAAGTAAAAACAAAATCATTACTGGACCAATTGATAACATCTGCTTCATACAAGTAGCCCAACCTCCCAGCTTGTCGCCGTAGTTCCTGCACACCATCACAGACTATGATCACACTCCTCTTCAAAACTTCAATCAGAAATTATTATGTATAAAAGCAGCACCTTTAGAGGATGACTAGTTGTTCTGCACAAAACTTGTGTCCCTAAACCACAATTAACATTCAATTTTATCTTTTCTCTTTTTGAGATTTTCTTGGCAGCAGGAGTGACATATTCCGGGAAACTGAATGGAATCTTCAGGCTGAATTGCCCATCATTGTAGGATAACTTCTGAGACCAGCTGATAGTGACTAATAGATTGGTTCCCCCGTCAATCTGAAAAGGGAATTTCACATAATATTGTTAAAATGAACAGATTAAACTTCTACTAAACCATGTTCTGTTTGAAATGAATTGTACAAATCTTTCAAGTATTACCTGAGGTATTTTGAGTGTAAAGATATGAGGCTTCAAATAGCTTCCGTCCTCAAATTGTGCTGCCTTTTCGGATTCTGTTTTGTCATCAATGGCAAGCAGTTGAGTACGGTAAAGTCCCCCAGGTACCTCAACCTCGACACTTCGGATTGAACCCTGTTAGTGAGCAAAATTGTTCCAGTTGAGAACAAAAATTAACTGTTAATCACAAAACCTAAACAGGGGAACCATTTAGGATCGGGAAAATAAATGAATTTAAGAACACTAAAATTGGTTGTTCATATTTAGTATTCACCTGTTCGCCCATCGGAATCGCAATACGGCAATCGCAGCACTTGCTCCCCTTGACGCAGTGCACTCGCCACGATCCAGTGAAGGTGAGGAAGGCGGTGTCGAGATAACAGTCGGCGTCGAGAGAAGAGGAGTTCATCTGGAGCGGAATCAGAGAGGGAGGATCACATCTGCCGTGCACGTGAGGCTGGTAGCTGGGAATGTCCGGGTTATCGACGATGGCCGGATTCTCAATCACGGCGTATAGCATTGGAGCCGTGGGAAGATAGGAGTGAGTAGCCTTCTCCATAGCGGACATGGGCCTCGGCGGCGCCACCGCCCGGTCTTTCCCTAAGTATACCCGCCTCGACAGCCGGAGGCCGTCCTCCACTGCTCTCACGAACTCTTCCGCCATGAATTAACAAAGATGAAAGGGTGGATGGGATTTTTGTTGTTCTTCTTCTTCTTGTTATGAACGTTAGAAAATGGGGAAGAGGGAGTGGATTTTGATTCATAAAAAGTATCCGTTGTTTAAAACGGACAGCTGTTGGTATCCTGACGCGTAAGCTACCGGGTGCCGGCATTTCAGAATACTTCCACAACTTTGGTCACATTTAATATTTTAGTAATAATAATAACTTAATTTTTCAATTTTATCAACTACTTAATATCAAATTATACACTTCTATTTATAAGCAAGTCTTAAATGGAGCTTCTTATCAATTAGCCATGGAGTGAATTAAATTATTATAGTAACTCATACTATTTTTTTTTAATTTTTTATTTTTACGATGCCAATAATATCATGTATAAAATTAAATATTATATATTTAATTCTATGAATATTCTTGACACCTCAATTGTCCGTAAGTATAACCAAATATAATATACTCTGTACCCTAATTATGTCAAGGGTAATTGCTATCATAAAAATCATAATACATTATTATAAACGATATTTTTAGAGTAAAATACTCAAAATGGTTCCTTGACTATAGCTAAATTCACAAATTGGTCCTCGACTTTCAATTTCAACCAATTAAGTCCTTAACTTTGCAATTTTAACACGATTTGATCCTTCGTCTATTTGACCGTTTGTTGACTGTGATTTTTGAGGATATATATGTAATTTCATGGTCCATCGTCGGTTTTTTAAGGTTCCGGTTGCATTTTCGACCGCACTTTAGTTGAGTTCGTACCAGAGCAAAGAAGACGACGTGTTTCCGAAACGGTGCAACGTCATCCTGGAGGCCTCCATGTGCTCCGACGAGAGCTGCAGGTTCTTCTGGAGACCGTCGATGACGGCGCAGCCGCTGGTGATGATGCAGAATCACGACGAATGATGCAGAATCGTGAAATTACATATATATCTTCAAAGATCACGGTCAACAAACTGTTAAATAAACGGAGGACCAAATTGTGTTAAAATTGCAAAGTTAAAGACTTAATTAGTTGAAATTGAAAGTCGAAGACCAATTTGTGAATTTAGCTATAGTCGAGGGACTATTTTGGGTATTTACTCATATTTTTATCATTGACGACTGTTTTATTATTTTTGAAATAAAAATAATCAATGTTCTTAGTAACCTTTTTATAAATAAATAAATTTTAAAAGATTTCACATGTTGTATTTTAAAATAAAAATAAGGTGAAGGAACATAGCACTTTCCTTAAATTTTATAAAAATTAAATTATAATTTTAATTCCCACATTATATATATTTTTTTAAAAAAAAGGTATTGTAAATATGACCCTTTTTTTTTGAGGAGTAAATATAATTTTTTAACTCATAAGTCACAATCTCTCATTTGGTAGTCAAATCCGGGTGCCATTAGACCACAAGGTCTTGGCAATAAATATGATTTTTAATTGGCCACAAAAGTAATTATTTTCGTCATCTAGTGATTTATTGGGACCAAAAATATAATCTTTATAAATAACTATTTTGGCTCTTTAAATGGCTAATTTTTAATATCCACTGAGCAGGGGCAAGGTTGACAATTCATATCAACCAAGAGGGATAGGGAAGGGATAATATAAAAGTATGAAACATTGTTTCTTTTGTCTCCATTTCTGTGTCTTAGTCTCCTTAATTTTATTTTATTTTTAAACACAGTAAATCAAGTCGATTAGCATTTTATCTTTTCAATTTCTGCAAATTCATGCAAGTTGAAGCCACTAGAAATGGTAAGTTTTGTTCAAGAACTCATTTGCCTTTCTTCATAGTTTGCAGGCAGCTACTTTCTGTCAACCAGTAAGGCATTACTATTTGTCTGCTTGTTTAATGATGCTCTTGAAAGATATGCCATTCTATGTTTCTTCGTGTAATTTTACTGTTTTATTTTAATGTAGAAGATGTTTGATGTTCCTGAAGTTAAAGTAGTTATCATCATTTATGTATATTGTTGTTGATGTACTTGTGGCTTTTGCATATGTTTAAGAAACTGGGTTTTGAAGATTTGCTATACTGTATCTGTAGATGGCCAAGATGGGAACTTTTTTTGATGATTTGCTGTTAGTAGATAGGCGACCTTGTAGTAGTTTGTGGGTAGTTTTAGTTATTTTTGCTCTTTTATGTTAAATACTGTGAGAGAATTTGTAAATGGAACCCTAAAATTGCAGACTTTAGTCGATCTAAAGGGCAAATAGCTGGTCACTTTTGAGGAAACCCGCACCCACTACCCGAGGTGTGCACTGGATAAATCTTGTCTTCTGAAAGAACTGCAAGGAAGGAGGTAAATCAGTCTGGGTTGTTCATAGCTGACCGGCTAAAACCAAGAAGAAGGCTAATAGGCCGCTCCTGTTGGAAGTCGAAATTGTAAAAACGTGGTCACTTTTGGCAAGCTGTATGAGTGCATAAGGCTGCCAGTTTGCTCTAGAAAGAATGGCCTCGTCTTCTTCACAGTCGGGACTAAACATTGGCAGAGGAGTCGAGGCAGGGAAGGATATGAATTTCTACTTGCCCCTTTATAAAGCTGCTATTAGGGGTGATTGGGAAGGTGCGAGGAGGTTCTTTGATCGTGATCGAGATGCAGTCACAGCTAAGATCACCAAGGATTCGGAGACAGTCCTCCATGTAGCAGTTGCTCGAAGCAAGGCGATTTATTTTGTAAGTAAGCTACTGGAAGTGATGCCTTCTGATGCATTACGTACGACAAATAGATTTCACGAAACAGCTCTTCATTTTGCTGCTAAATTCGGTAATGTTGAGGCAGCAAAGCTGTTAGTGTCCCAAGATCCTGGTCTGCCTTCGATTTGGAATGATTCGAATTGTTTGCCTCTACATTCGGCTGCTCTCTTTGGCCACAAAGAGATGGTTATATATCTATTAACTGTTACTGGAGAACACGTGAGACCTAATCCGTTTGCTGATAAGCCCGGGATCACTCTTATGATGCTTCTTGTGCATTCTGGATTTTATGGTGAGCAATAAATTTTCAGACCTTTGACATGGCTCTGATACCAAATTGAAGCATGTGCTACATCTCAACTAAAAGCCTAAGCTGATAGTTGGATTGCACATTAATGGTTATATGCGCTCACATTTATTTCTCTCCGTACTTTTATACCATGTCAATGTGCATTCACAGATGTGGCACTGGATCTGCTTCTGCATCATCCCCAGTTGGCTTCAACTGTATCACCCGGTGGGAATACTTCATTGAGCATTATTGCTCAAAAGCCCTCTTCGTTTCCAAGTGGAAGTTGCTTAAATTTCTGGCAAAAGCTTATATACTCCTGTGAGTTTCTTGAAACCTTGAACTTCACCCTTAGCAATCTGAATTTTGCCTTGTTCTGCAAAATTGTCAATTCGTGACTAGTTATCTTTGTTGAGTGGCATCTTTTGTATTCTTAAGGTTCCGTCTTTGTTAACTATAGTATTATCAAAGAATGAATGATCTCTGTGCAAGTTACCCTTTCTCATTCCAGTTTTTCTTTAAAGTTATTTTATGCATGAGAAGATTCTTATTGCAGTGCCTCTTGTGAAGTCTTTGCGTGAAGAAAAACTGATGCACTGCCAAGCAATGGAACTTGTCAGAGCGTTATGTACTGAAGTCATAAACACGAATAACTTAAAGTCTGCCTTGATATATAAACCGGCTATTATTTTGGGAGCTACTTTAGGCATTTATGAGATTGTAGAAGAGATTTTAAAGACATTTCCCAGTGCAATCTGGTCGTTGGACAGGGAACACCATGATTTGTTCCAAATAGCAGTGATGAACAGACGTGAAAATATATTCAATCTCTTACGTGAACTGGATGAGCATACGCATTTGGTAACTCAAAACATTGACACGAATGGTAATACTATCTTACATTTGGCTGGAAAGTTGGCACCTCCCCACCGGCTTAATCTTGTCACAGGTGCAGCTTTGCAGATGCAACACGAGTTACAATGGTACAAGGTAAGATTGAAATACAGGCTCTGATACCATGTTATAGACATAATGCACATTGGTCAAACCATACTCAATTAGTTAGTATAACCCATGGCCTTATAAACTAATATATTCTCTCATATTTTTTCAATGTAGGATTCTTAACAGTCAGGATCAGATATTTGTTATTCACCATTTGAGCATGCCATTATCTTTATATTACAGAATTTTTTTTCCTGTACAGGAAGTGGAGAAGTTTGTAACTCCGGGATACAAAGTGAAGGAGAATTCTAGTGGAAAAACGCCTGCAATGGTGTTTACTGAGGAGCACAAAGACTTGATTGCAGAAGGAGAACAATGGTTCAAAGACACGGCAAATTCATGCACACTGGTCGCGGTCCTCATTGCAACCGTAGTTTTTGCTGCAGCCATAACCGTGCCAGGTGGTAGCAATGGTGACAATGGATACCCAATCTTTAACAGCGAGACGCCATTTACAATCTTTGCCATTTCAAACACCCTTTCTCTGTTTTCTTCTACGACTTCAGTGTTGATGTTCTTGTTGATTCTGAACACGCGATTTGCAGAAGCAGATTTTCTCCACTCCTTGCCAAATAAGTTGATCATTGGCCTTGTTAACTTATTCCTCTCCATAATGTTCATGATGGTAGCCTTTAGTTCTGCAATTTATATCGTTTTTGGGCATAAGAAGTCTTGGATTATTCTGCCACTTGCATTTGCCTGTCTTCCAGTGGGATTGTTTGCATCATTGCAACTTCCCCTCCTTATAGAGATGATCAAATCAACATACGGCCCGGGCATTTTCTACAAGCAACAGAGATCTTATTTCTGGACTGTGACAAAATGAAGGCCTACGGTGTGTTACTTCATAAGATAGACATATACTTCAGTGGGAGCGGCCTATTGGCCTTCTTGGTTTGAACCAGTCTGCTAAGAGTAACCTAAGTTGGTTTACCTTCTTTTGATCATTTGCCGGCTAGGGTCACAATCTGGGGTTTACCCCATGCACATCTTCCAGTAATAGCTACGAGTTTCTCTTGTCATCCCAAAAAAAAAAAAAGAATTCTTGTACATTAGTAATCTTTTCTCTCTTGACTATTCTTTGTTGTACATTAGGTATCCTAGTTTGCACTATTATGTAAAGAGTACTGTTGAGCATATATATAATATATAAACATAAATGTGCAATCCAACTATCAGCTTAGCCTTTTAGTTGAGATGAAACACATGCTTTAATTTGGTATCAAACCAACCTTATGCCAAATGTCAGGATGCGTAAGAGGGAGTGTTGAGCATATATATAATATATAAATATAAATGTGCAATCCAACAATGCCATCAAAGTTTGAAATCACAACTTCCACTATATAAACAAAGTTTTACAAAGGATTGAAGACAACCCAAGTACAAAAAAGGCCATTCTTTGGATGAAAGTTCAATGTTGAGCAATCAGATATTACAAATCCATACAAAAGTCTGTATTTAAGCATAAAGAATGTACCCTGAAAGCCTAAGAATGTACCCTAAAAGCAGCTTCCATACTATAATGGCTACTAGCAGGCTTGATTAAGCTAAAAGAGGAGGCGATTACTGCGCTTACCAAAAATGCGAGGGCAGTAAGTGGAAGTTATCATATCCTTTAGAAGGGGATATTGCAACGTCACGAACAAAGTCACTGGTAGACATGCCAATCCGGCCACTGGTACGAGAGTCCACGCCTTCTTTTCCCCAAATACAAGGTAGATAGTGGCACTGAAAGCTACCATCATTGATGTTATGGAGAGAAACAGCATCGTAAGGCCGATTATTAGCCTCCTTGGGAGGGAGTACAGAAAATCGTTTTCTGCATAGCGTGCAGTGAGGATGGACAGGAACATCAGTAGAGAAGCTGTAGATGAAAACAAGGAAAGGGCGTCGAAAATAGCAAAGATAGTAAACGCCATGTTTTTGTGGAAAATGGGGAAGCCACTATCGCTGTTATTGCCCCCGGGCACTGTAATCGATGCTGCAAATCCTATCGTTGCAATGAGAGTTGCAGATACCGTACAAGAATTTGCCGTGTCTTTCATCCATTTCTCCCCTTCTTTAACCAAATCTTTGTGTTCCACCGAGAACTCTACTGCTGGCGTTCTCCCATTCGAGTTTCTAGTGTCTTTAGAGTCAGGAAGCACATATTTCTCGACTTCCTGCAAATGAGATGCTCAGAGATTGACAAGACACAATAATTTAAATACTTATTTAGCATATAACCATTAATGTGCAATCCAACTATCAGCTTAGGCTTTTTGTTGAGATGGAGTACATGCTTCAATTTGGTATCAGAGCCAGACCAAAGGTCATGGGTTTGAATTTATACGTCACCCGATAAGCGACTACGGTCCACGTGTTGCTTAAGCTTTTAGTTGAGATGGAGCACATGCTTCAATTTGGTATCACTTATAATTACCTTGTACCACTGTAACTCTCTCTGCATCTGCAGAGCTGCACCAGAAACAAGACTCAGTCGAGGCGGAGGTGCCAGTTTGCCAGCCAGATGCAAAATGTTATTCCTCTTTACATCTCGAAGCTGTGTGGCTAACTGTTTGTGCTCACTCATCTGGTACAGGATGTTGAAGATATTCTCTCGGCGATTTTCAACTGCCAGTAGGAATATGTTATGCCCCTCTTGGTTCCTTGACCAAATTGCCGGGGGAAATGATTCCAGAATCTCCTCAACGAGTTCACTGATTCCTGAAACTGCGGCCAAAAGGATTGGACCGTCGAATATTGATGCAGCTGATGAGTAATCTAGTCCTGCAACTTCTGCACATAGGCGCTTGATGAGTTGAAGAGTCTGCCGATGCATCAATCTGGTGTCCCTTACACTTTTAAAGTATGGCACTGCGATTGAAAATCAAATCGGTTATTATACGTCTTTATGCAAGTCCCACGTGCCCGTAGATGATTAAATTTCATTTCATACCTAACCATTCAATGAATTCCCAAGTTGCTTCATGACATTTCTTGCACCCTGCCATACAGGTGAAGATTAAGATGTACCAAACTACTATATATAATGACCCTGTTTGGTAAAATAGTTAGCCTATAGACCAATTTTGGCTTATTTGACCACTATTAGCTTTTTGATTTGGTTAAAAAATCAATATAAGTGTTTGGTTAATTAGCTTTTTGAAACTCCAAAATGCTAAAAATCAAAAAGCTGCCCAAAGCTACTTTTTCAATTAGCTTTTTGAGAAAGGAAATTATATCAAACAGCTATCAGCTAACAGCTAATTTACCAAACACCTTTCTATATTTTAGCTAATGTTATCAACTAATTATACCGTCTAATTAACCCAATCAGTTAACAGTCATTTACCAAACAGGGCCAATATATGACACCAGAAAATTGCTAGGGGAATCAATTGTTCAAAGAAAACATTCTCTGAAAAACATTCTAGGCCATAACAAATGCAGACTCCAAGAAATATAATTCATGTTAATGGACAAACCAGAAGAGCCAAATTCCCGGAAGAAATGAACCCAGCGGCATATAAGCATGGACCTTTGGTTCCCCGCAGCTGGATTTTCCATGTCTCCAATTTTAGCAGGACTATACACATTCCCAAACTTCACAGGAACACCTTCACAACAAGAGTAACTATCAGGACTACAACATTAAAATTATCCCAACCAATTATGATCATTAAAGAATCTAAATTATGTTCATAGGCAAGGTTTCTTTCAGAAACGAAAGACTCCAGGATGTTTTTTGTGCATTAAGCTATTTTTTAAGTCAAGGGCCTACGCAAGGGACTCTACGCAAGGGAAAGTGCGACATAAAATGAGAGATGGAGATGATAAACGAACATGAATAAATGAACCGCTGCCAAACATTGAGTCTAATTCCACTTGGAAATGCAGAAGGCTTTCCAGCAATCACACGTAAAGCAGTATTACCAGCAGGTGATCGCAATGTTGCCAGCTTTGGATAAAGCTGGATCAGATATAAAGCCAAATCTGCACATTTAGAGAAGATAATGTGAATAACTAGACTGCAATTCATAGTTCTTTTCAAACTAAAATCATTACCATAAAATTCGGCAGATATTACAAGATTTAGAAGCTCTACACCAGATCTGTCAGCAAATGGGCTGGGCTCTACATCATCTCTGGTGACAGTTAAGAGGTACGAAATCATATCCTTGTTGGCATAGCCAGCAGCCAAATGAATAGGCAGTAATCCTGAGCCACTCCATAAGTTAGTCAACTCAGGACTTTTAGTCACCAGAAGCTCGGCTGCCTCAACGTTTCCATATATGGCAGCATAGTGGAGGGCCGTCTGACCAGCTTGATCCTTTAGAGTTACCAAAGCCTCGGTTGGTATCAACTCCAACAATTCCTTTACAAAACTTGTCGCCCTTTGTGTCCCAACAGCAATGTGTAACGCTGTCTCGGAGACTTTAGTGATCTTAGCAGTGATGGCCTCAGGGTCTTGGTCGAAGAAATTTTTGGCACTCTCCCAGTCACCTCTTAGTGCTGCCTTGTACAATGGAAGGTACCAGTTGAGGTCCTTCTCTGGTTCCTTTTTCTCCACTGGCTCCATTAAACCTTGACTCACCACGCTTTTGTCTCTCCCAGCTTGTAGGATGAGTCTCATCAATGGTCCTGGCTCCTTTTTTACATTGTCACCCAACTCAGGCTGTGATGAAGAGCCAGCCATTCTGTATCTTGGCTAAATCCTTCCTCAACTATCTCTTAACAATGCCACTTTTTCCTATTCCAAAACTGGCTACAAGTAATCAGAACAACCAATGACCTTGTGGTCCAGTGACACCAAGTTGCTCTCCTATATGGGAGGTTGTGAGTTCGAGCCTTAGTCTACCTTCAGTAGGTTCAGTCCCCACCCTTGCCTGTACACTCTACGCACAAGGAGTCTTCATCACCTCTGATCAGTTAAGGTCTCCCAATGACCCCAAGATTCAAACCACAAGGGTCTTCATCACCTTTGATGAGTTAAGATCTCCTAATGACCCTCAAGATTCCCATGAGATTCGAACCACAAGGGTGATCTTCCCACACTGTCGCTGAAACGAGACTTTTTAAGGTGATTGGTCAAACTAAACTGAGCTAGCCTTGCTGGCAAGTCTTTCTTTTATCATCTGCAAAGAGACATTTTCCATTTTTCTTCCCAAAAAAATGAAATTTGTACTAAATTTTACACCATCTAGCCATCTAATATGACTAAGCCAGATGCCAAAATCTTACATATCCATTTGCTACCAGTGAAATGACACACTACTAGTAACATTCTCCTTTCTTAATTCTTACTGTGCTGCAGGAACCACCAGAGGCAACCGACATAACATGAAGAAAACTGAGAAGATGCCAAAGAAACCCTTAATAAACAAGTGTTGTAATTAAGGTATTGAAGAAGAAGAAAAGGGGATTAAATTGAAGAAACCCAGTGCAGATTATCATTAGGGAATCACAAAGGAAGTAGAATCATTGAAGTGAGTACTTACTGTTTCTGTATTTATACATGGGATTGATTGATCTGTGTCACTCTCCTTCTACTTCAAGCCATTTCAGAGATTTTATCAACTGTTTGGTGGCATAAATCCCAATTGATTTAGACATCATTCTTGAATGACACTGACCAGTTAGTTCGGTGTGAATGAAGATTGTTATTGGAAACTAGAAATTGAAATACGAAGAAGAAATAGGAAAAGGAAGAGAACAAAAAAATGGTTGGTTAAGGAAGGGACAAGAAAATAAATGCTGAGGGAACATGTTAGTCAACATGTTCTCAAAAAAATACCGTTCACCATACCTCCATAGTCCGTATATTGAGTTCTAATTAATTTTGCCTCTTTTTTTTTTAGATCTCATTTGAAGTTTGATTATTGAATTAATTGTTTTGATAGAAAGTATTAGTAAAAAAATTAAACTTTTTACTTTTGAAGGTTCCTATTTTATCTCGATTATTTTTTTGATGAAATTTTTATTTTTTTCATGACAATAGAATTTGCAATTACTATTTAAATGTGTGTATGTAGTAAATCTCAATCTTGTATAATAGTCTACAAACTATATAAGACAAGATATGTAAATTATATTATAAAAACATGTATAACATGCTTGATCTAGAGAGAATTGGTAAAATTTGAACAAAAGGTAACTTACAATTCTTTTATTTTTCGCCATTGTCTTCATTTGAATAATTGGACAACAGGGAGAAATTCATGTAATCATGTTGAATTTTTCCAAAATTTTACCAGAATATCTTAGGTAGTAAATACGGGGATTCCTACAAATATGCGAAATGTGAAGTATAAGGATTGGATCGTATGGAGATCCTGTTCAAGACTTTTAGTATAGCAGTATGCTTGTTGGTTTAAGTCTTTAAGTTTGATTACGTAACAGTGGGTCAGAGATTCCCGAGCTAAAGATATGTATGTAGCTAGTGCCAAAAAGTACCTCTCCATTTGTATTTAATGCGTTATTTATAGGGGAGTTGAAGGGAACACATGCCGAAAGCTCAGCATGTGTGACGCGTGCTCTTCATGCAAGGGGCAAACCAAAGGCCATGCAGATTTTTCCACGTGCCCTAGGATTAGGCTAGTGCAATTGTTGGCCCATCGTCGGAGTGATGGAAGTCAGGTCATCTCTCCTTTCCCGACCTAAATAGATCGGGAAAGGATCCGAGTTATGGGAATTAAGATAATTATCTTATCTCAGGTCGGCACTTCGTTGGAGGTCAGTCCGAGTTGTTCTAAATTGACTGATAGCCGATAGTGATTGCCTTCAGCGATCCGCTCGTGTATGTCGAACTGTTGTACGATGCGGTCAAGTGCGGATCACGTGCATATATTCCCTATCAATATCTATTTTAAATATCTCCACACTCTTCTATTGAAGATTAAGATATTAAAATAAAGAATAAGAGATTTGTACCCGCATGGTTTTACATTGATATTTGGAGTTGAATATACATACTCTTATATATATTGTGTCTATAATTTTTATTCCCCAGACTTGAATTAAAACGTTAAAAGTAGAAATTGACAATATCAACAATTTTACAATATCTTTAATACTATATGTAAAGATATCGTATTTCACTTTTATTTCAAAGAATAAGGGTCAAATAGGCCATCGAACTGCACACGATAAAATAATTAGGCCACTGAACCTAAAAAATTAACAATTAGGTCCCTAAACTAATCAATTTCAAATAATTCTTTCAATTTGAAGGTTTCCAACAGGTCAACAGGTCATCTCCCAAATTAAGTATTTTTTAAAAAATAAATTTTAAAAATTAATTAATTTTAAATTAAACTTTAAAAAAAAAAAAAACTGAAATCCAGCCGGAGACTACCGTCTCCGGCTGGATTTCAGTTTTTTTTTTTTTTTTTTTTTTTTAAGTTTAATTTAAAATTAATTAAACTTCGTCTCCATGGCCGGAGACGAAGAAACTCTCCGGCAGTGGAGACGAAGAAGGTTTCGTTCTCCATGCCGGAGACAAAGAGTATCTTCGTCTCCGGCCATGGAGACGAAGAGTTTCTTCGTCTCCGGCCGGAACCAGTTTTTTTGTTTTTAAAGTTTAATTTAAAACTAATTAATTTTTAAAATTTAAATTTTAAAAAATAATTAATTTGGAAGGATGACCTGTTAACCGGTTGGAAACCTTCAAATTGAAAAAATTGTTTGAAATTGATTAGTTTAGGCCTTTAGGGACCTAATTGTTGATTTTTTTAATTTAGTGACCTAATTATTTTAACGGGTGCAGTTGGATGGCCTATTTGACCCTTATTCCTTATTTCAAAAACATAATATTTTTACGTACAACATTATAATATTTCTCGGAATATGCTATAAAAAGGAAAATAGAAGAGTGGGTGTTGGTGTTCTAGTATTGATTGACAACATAGGATGCCAAAGAACCTTAAATACATGTTTTTTTATCAAATTAAAGACAATGTACATTTTACATTTCCCACTCACTACAAGTCTACAACTACCTATTGTATTCACAACAGCAGGTAAAATGACAAACCAAAAAAACAGAAGAGCAAAACCTATACCAACATAAACCTTAACAGGAGTATTAATCAAGAGAAATGAAAAATTTTCGACCCGAATGTTAGAATTCTTTACCGGCTATACGTCCCAGCCATCAGTCCGGCTACCGAATACTGATTTCCGGTGTGTTATACTCCCATAAATCTCCGAAAATTTCTGCAGGCAGTTGCTTCTGACGCCATAGTGAGCCTGTGTGTTCCTGCTGATCGCGACGCCAGAAAGCTTTGATGTATCGACTGCCCACGCAGGCTTCACGTACTCGACCGTGGTGGAAGAGGTTGCGTTTGCGTACAAGTAGTTCAACAGCACGTCCTCGCAGTTAAATACCTCGTCCACGGCCTCCCTCCCGGGCTTGGCTGCCTCGCTCCAGTACCTCTCAAAAGCCAGGTGACTGTCAACGAAGGCTGCACCGGTCAGGATCACATTGTATCCGTTGTGTTTGCGGGCGTGTTTCTCAGCCCGGTACTTCAACGGGGCCCCATTGGCAAGTCGGGGGTAGAACCCTACGATCCGGTCGGGATGCTCACGCCACACCTTGAACCCCCGTTCCACATCATCACAACTCATCATAATGTCGTCGTCGAGCTCGAGAACACCTCGAGTCTTGATCAACGGGTCCACCTTGAACCGATTGTTGAGCGAGTTCTTTTCCTCCACTCTTACTCTCACGGGCACAGCCGAGTCGAATTCGCTCAACTCGGGAGGTGTCCCCTTGTTCCACACTACGACAATCTCACGGACCGAAGAACATCTCGAGTAATGCTTAATGTACATCTTCAAATTCCACATCCGAGCATCATAGGTCATTGTTAGTAAAGTGAATTGAGAGTACTGACCGATCAACGGATATGGTTCCTGAGCACCGTTGCCTCCATAGATGTAATTAACTCCCAAACACATTAGTACAGCTGCCACTACAAATGTACAAGCGATAACTAACCTCCCGGTACAGCTGTTCGATTTTGTTATGGCACGGAGAGACAAACTGGCACGGTTCAACCGACTGCAAAACAGTCTCAGATTTGAAGATAACGAGTTTGGCTTTTCCCAAGTCAATAAAACATCGCTTCTCTTTCCCACATTGTGGGGGCACCAACTTAAGGGCACAATAGATTTCACAGCCCCGAGGAGCATTCCCAACAGCATAACAAGTGCAGCAACGCCAATAATCGCGGTGCATCCCAGAACAAACCGACGGTTTACGTCTCCCGAAGGCACACGATCGCCATCCATAACAGCAATCCACTCTCCCGTGCTCAGTTGCTGAGCATCGAGGTGATGGCTTCGAGCACCGTTCCAGGCATTCTGTCCCTTAAGAGACTCCTTGATGCCCAACGAAACCTCGGTTTCTTTAAACTCGTGAGTTGTAAGAGCCTCTATCTTGAAAAGGCGCACTCGCCGTCCATATGTGCTACCACAGTCTTGACCAGCACGATAAATGTTCCCATTATACACAAATGGTCTACCGCCATTTCGAGCTCCCATGCTTTTATCGGTGTTATAAATGGGGTTCTTCTTATGTGGCTTCCAAGGACCAAGCGGAGTGGTACTATACCAGATCTCCAATTGTCCGTTCTTTTGCGTGCCAATACCACTGTGATCTGAACCAAAAAGCCAGTACTTCCCATCGTGTGGAATCACAAAAGAATCTACCAACGGCTTCTTGATTATCACCCTCTCCAGTGTCCACTCGGTGGGAAAATTTACAGCCCGGTATACACGAAGGTCCCCTTTTGCACTCCCCTCAGGCATCATATATGTCTGCAAAAAACAATACAATAGAATCAACGATGCAATCAAAAGTAGACTTTGTCACTTTGATTCAGAGTCACATAATCGAATTCATATCTTACATTCCCGTTGTAGTCGAAGACATATGGATAAGAGAGATGCCAATCTTCATCCAAAGCAATGCCCAACTGTTCCCATGTCGCTCCCTTATCAGTACTTCTAGCAACACCAATATCCCCTTGCATCGTGATCGCATTCTTCGTTTCAAAGAACAGGAAAAGATCGTCTCCCTGGAAACGTTCGAACAAAAATCAGACACTACATCCTAAGTCACTAAAGTTTTCAAATTTCGAACATAAAAACTATAATCAGATGCGCTTCTGATGTATAGGCAATACTATAGCACGGTGAAACGAACGCTAGGAAAGAGCCAAGGCAATATCTTTAAGAAATGAACTAATCTACCTTTTCCCTTCCTATTTAATACCACTTGCCATAAACTAAAAGCTCTCTAGTTATGTTTACCAACTGGATACGTTAATTACAAATCCCCTGACCTCATCTGTCGATTTAATAATGCAGATACCAAAAACAGAATATTAGTAAACTTGCTCACGAATCCCTCCATGATGCGTCCTTACATTATTAATACTCGCTGCCTAATTATGTATTGCCCAACTTGAATATATGAATAGCAGAACAGTTAACAATTTAACATCATCCTGACTAAGCATAATCCAAATCACTGCACAATTTTATATAAACCATACTATATTTAAGCTTTAAAACAAGTGATTGGAATTACCAAATAAGGCGAGAAAAAATTACCTTAACATAAAGAAATGGATCAGCAACAAAATTACTGGGAACAGCCTGAGAAGCAGAAGCACATGTCACAACTGGGTTGGCAACTGGCCATGCTGCAGCCTTAGGCCTCTCTTCATTCATCTGCAAATCCATTTCCACCACACTCAGAAGTCAACAACAACATAAATTCCAACAAAACTCAAAAAAAAACCTTAAACCATCAAAGGGGGAATCAACCCACAAATCACCATGGTTTAGCAAAGTCAATAATTCCCAGAAATTATAAATTGAGCAAACTGCAATGTGAAGTATAAATCAGGGAATCTAAAACAGTGTGAAAGTTCAAACTGAAGAAGAATGAAATCTGGGAATTATCAAAAATGAAACCTTTGACTGAAAACAAGCGAAACAAAGAAGAAAATTTCAGAATGCGGAGCTTACATCTTCAATGGGTTTGAGAGAGAAAGGAGAGTCGCCATAGAAAACACCGATGGCCCATGATCCCTCATTATCCTCGTGGCAGCCGGAGGTGGAGGCATGGACGTTAGGTGTGAGTAGGAGGCAAGCATAGAGGCCCGCAATTGAGCCCAACAGCACAAACGAGAAAAAGAAGAAAGCCAAAGGGGATGGGAGAGCTCGAGAATCGCTGTTATTGTTACTGCTGCTGCCGCTTTTATTTCTCCACCCGCCGGCGCCGCCGTGGGCGGAGGATGTCGGAATTGGGTTAGAACCCATTACCCAGAAAATGATGGGATGTCGGAGGGGAAATGGAATGGAAGACAATTTTCGCCGGAAAAAAAAAAGTCTCTCACCGGTTGTGCTGAGTTGGAGGTGAGTTTGCAGAAAGCATTATATGAATTATACATGTGTCCACCTCCCGACCTCTATATACATATAACATATCTGCTCCTAAGAAAGAAATGAGATTAGTCAAGACAAAGACGAAGACGAGAGAAGTCGTAGTGGGTAGGGGGTTTTAGAGAAGATTCCGCGATGGAAGTAGACTTGCAATGCTTTGTTTGTTACTCCTTTGATTTTGAAACTTCCTATGTAAATTGTCTTTTTGCATTTCCAATTCGTTTGTTTCAATGTTTTGCCCATATATGTTCACACTCTCACCAACAGAGTATCTGAGATAATGTAAATTATAGTAATTCAGTATACAAAGTCAGTGTGACTAAAATTCTTACATTGTTGTTGTCAAGTTTTGAACATTTGTCGAGTTTATCGCACCTAATCTTTTTAATGCGGACTATTTACTGAAGTGTATACCATCAATTAGTAACTACATGTTCCTTTCGTTACCCAACAAAAATAAAATATCTATTACTATAATATTATAATATTTTCAATTTGATACTCGGCTATCAATTTATTTATCACTTATATAAAATTTTCTCAATTTAGTACTCTGTATAACATATGACTAAACTGAATAAGTTAGCATAATGAAAATACCATTTTGGATGGATTGACTACTATACGTTGAAATTTATGGTATAGTAAATGGAATGTTTTGATATTAATTAACATACAAGTAATTAATAAATGCCTAGAATGTGACATTAATTTATTACAAACTAAGTCTTTTGATAATAAAAAAACTAGTCTAAATTTTCTTTCTTTTTTTACTTATATATCATGAATCTTAAAAAGTATGAAGTCTTAAATGTCACAACGTATTATATAGTATTTAATAAAGTTATATCTTTTAAAATTTAAAAAATAAACATTTCTGTAAAATAAAAAGTAATTATTACATAAGTTCCATTTGCAGTATTCAATTAACAAAATCTTATCAATACTTTCAATATTTAAAATTCAAAATTTTAAAAATACGCATTTCAGAAGTAACATCACACATACACACATCTCACAATTTGATGAAGATGAAGCACAAAGTTAAGTATTAAAATCTATATTATGTGTTTGAGAATACTTCCTTAGACTTAATATTGTGTGCCAATTAAATTGAATGAAGAGAATGCAAAATAATTTTAATATATTAATTTATTACAAGTTAATATTATCAAATCTCTAGTGGGCAGCTTTTGTTGGCTAGGTAGGCCATGTTGTCATTGCATATTCCACTATGACTAGGCTGTAGACACCCTGTGTTATTCTAGAAAACCATTCAGATCATTCTTTATTCATTCTCTAAATTACATTATTAAAATAATTTATTTCAATGTTAAAAATATTAGATTATATGTGTTTTAATACACAACTTCATAAATCATAATTTTCTCAACCAATCAATATATCACACACTAAGACATCAAGTTCAATCATCAACTTTTTTTGGTGATATATCGGGTGTATTATAGTGGTTGAAAAAATTATTAGGCACTTATCCGGCGTTCGGGGACTTAGGTGGCGATTAATCGGTGCTTAGGTGTTTGGTGTATTTTTTTATTATTTTTTATTTTTTTATAAATTTGTTTAAAATTTTTTAATTTTTTAAAATTTGATAATTATAAATTATTTAATACTTTAATAGTTAATACTAAAATATTAAATATTAATTTAAAACATCTAGAATTTGAACAATTTATGATTATTTCGCTCAAAACGATATCACTGTGAATGAAATAAGCCATTTGAAAACGAAAAGAACAATAGCTAATCGGTCGGCTAGGCGACCTGGTCGATGTCTAGGAGGCCTAGGTGGCGCTTAGGTAGCCTAGTCAACCGCCTAGCCGGCCAGCCACCTAGACCACTGATTATGGTGATACGCTAGGTCATTGGCCAGCGCCTAGACGCCGATTAATCGGTGCTTAGGCGGGATTTTTACAACATTTTTAGATGAAACTTCTGATCCTTTTTGTGAATGGCTCAAACTGAAAATTAAATTTAAAATCATGTGGTTACCAAGACACTACTCGATCAATTATGTTAGATTCTCACATCATCAACTCGTTAAATATACTAAAAAGGAATTATATCGCATCAAATTTTATATAAAAGTTGGTGTGGATAGCAATCGAATGAAGATTATCCATTATATTGTGTTGTGAATTACCTTGGAGGCGAAGCTATTAATGTTGCGATATGAATTTTGAATGACTAAGAAACACAAGTCAAATTACACTTGCCATTAAGGTTGGACTTTGGGTTAATAATATAATATAATATAATATAATCCTTTGTGATTAAATATGTAGAAGATATCACATCTCCAATTGTCAATGGTCAGAATTGGATTGCCGAAGACATTGTCAACATTCAAAATTTATTTATTAAAAAAAAACGTTTAATACAACGTCTGCTGATTTCGATAATAATAATATTATAAAAAAAAAAAAAAAAACGGAGTAATAATAAAGTCTGCTAATGAAGATTCAGTGAATCCCATTGGCGGAGATATGAGCGTGGGGGGCACTCGCGACTGGCGAGTGGTTTTGTGAAGGTGGGCCCCGCAGGGGAGAGCACGTAGCCATCGGTTCACGTGCCGGCGTGCCGCGCTCCGCGGAGCAGGGCGGAGTGGGTTTGCCTTCAAATTTGGGCTAACGACTTTGAACATTCAATTTTCAAGCGCCGCCGCGGGAAGACTTTTTTTTTTTTTTTTTTGGCGTCTCGACTTGTTTGAGGTTGTTGTTTTCTTTCGAAACTTCCTTAATTCCATATTCATAATTACAATTATTCCAGTACTACTCATCAGTTTCTACAATTATTCCTCTGAACAACATTCTTTTTTTTATTGCGTGATTGATTAATCCTAAAAATATAAAACTATAGATTACGGAGTATTTACATTTTAGAGCATCAAATGATTTGAAGATTTTGGTGCGTTTTTAACCTTTTGTTAAATTTATTGCAATGTTAGTTGGAATAGGAAAAAATTTTAAAAGTATAAAAGTTCGAGTTATCATCAATTGACGTCCATATTAGTCAAACCCACGATTATATGTTTTTCCTAAAAATTGTGCAAAATCAAGTATTTAGCATAAAAACATTTAAGGGTGTTTGGTAAATAATTATTAGTTGTTAGTTGATTGGTTATCGGGTTTGACTAGATAGCATTAGCTGATTGTATACAAGTATTTGGTAAATGAGCTATTTGTTAGTTGTTAGTTGATTATTACATATAGAAAGAGTTACTTTGACCAGCTTTCTGAATTTTAGCATTTTAGAACAATAAGTTGTTACAAAAGCTAATTAATCAAACACTAATATTGATTGTTTAACCAAGTCAAACAATTAATAGTGTGATCAAATAAGTCAAAATTGACTAATAGGCTAATATTTGATCAAGCAGGGCCTTATTATTTCTCTCCTCTCCTCTAGGTTTCAAATCGTTGAGAAAAATTACCTATTGTGACGATGATCCTACAATACATAAAAGTCACCTATTACGGATTGTAGAAATTTCACATATAATGCGTATTTGCATAGTATTAAAATAAATGAGATATTTTGAAAGAAAAATATTAATCAATAAAGAGATTTGACCTCTTGAATTCTACTATAGCACATAGTACATACTTAACTACCTAAACTACTTCATCTTTAAGTATTTTTTTTTTTTGAAAACCATCTTTAAGTAATTTATATAATTATATCTATATTATTTACTTATATCTAAACATTTACTCTCTCTCTCTCTCTCTCCCTCTCTCTCTCTCTCTATATATATATATATATATATATATATATATAAGGGTTCTCTATATATAAGGGGTGAGATGGGATGCGAGAGGGGAGTAGCTGCCGGATACGGGTTCCGTCCATGGACATGGGGTGGTAGTTTGGTACATTCCAAATCTCATAGCTTAGCTTTTGGTAGTAGAATAAAAATTTGTTATGAATTTATGATTTATCATTATATGACATCTCTATATATGAAATCAAGCTATTATGTAATAGATTAAAGGTTTTGTATTATCTATTGATAAAAGTATAAATTCAAATTAAAAAATTTGAATGATATGAGCTACTTGATGTCTTGATCATTATCAAATTCCCTGTCCTTAGTCTTTACCATTCATATCCATTATATATATCTATTACTTTTGTGGTGAGTAAAAAATCTAATATTTACACACATACTTCGTATTGTCATAATACATAAACTATTCATATGTTTTATTAAAATTAATATGACACTTAACATCTTAATACATGACATTCACAAATTTGATATGTACTACTTTTGGTTATAAATAGAAAGAACTGAATTAAAAATTTTGAATAGTTAAATTGCATATTACTATAAATAAAAAAGTTAACAATATTTTTACAAATACAATAATTAGTTTACTTTCATTATTTATATAAAAAAAAATTGATACTATTTTTTTATTACATATTTTTACTATTTAACATTGTAAAATCTTAATGGTAAAAGGTGTCAATATAAGTGGAATGCCAGTTTTGGATATGAAATGACATGATATGATCCCCATTGTATAATTAAATATGCATTGCAGCTATATTTGTTGACATTAAATATGGAGGCCGGGAGAATGGGAGATAGATGGTCCTCTCCCTCATCACTATCCTCAACCTACTATACTATACTATTTCCTTGCTTGTTTGGTTTGAATGTTACCTAATTTATAAAACTCTACTTAACTTATTCAATCAAGTATCGAGTAGTCTCTTATTTAAGTAGTGGTTCACATCTTTTTCAATCCAACAAAAAAACAAAAAAAAAAAAACAATTTTTTTTTTTAAAAAAATTTGTATGTAATTTTAAAATTTTAAATTTAAAAATGAAATTAATCTCTTATTCATTTTTAAGATTAGTTTTTACATTAGTTTTTTTTTTTTTTTTTTCCGTTTGATTTAACTTCTATACCAATTTACCCGTAGTGGATGAGAAATATTACTTAATACTTGCTTCCAATTACATGGTAGATTTTGATTTCTGCCACAAACATTGGAATTTGAATTTGGGTAAGGTTCGTTGGGTACATAAGTGTATAGTTTGGTTTTGAGTCAATTTATATTCTTATGGACCTAGGGACAGGTTCGTGAATTCACGATATATACTATATAGTTCGACGAA